GGGGGAGAATACGGGTTGGCCAGCTACGGCCCGAAGGCCAACTCTAACCCTCCACCAGTTTTTGTAAATAACATGTTACTGGAACACAACCATGCCCATTTGTTTAAACATTTTCTGTGGCTACTTTCGAACCACATAGCAGATTTGAATAGTTTCGACAGAGACCATATGGCCTGCAAAGCCTAAAAGAGGTATTATCAGCCCCTTTACCAAAAAAGTTTGTCCATCTCTGACATAGAAGGAGAAAAGCACTTCAGTTGTTACTTATGCCACCAAGGCTCTAAGAGATATTTATAGGCGGAGTTTCAAGATTAGCTACAACAAAATGAAATAAGTTCATATTTAACTAAAATCTCACTATTGAGAAAAGGTGCAGTGTAGATTAGAAGAAAAAAAGATAATAGATCACTTTTACATGCTCTGCTCTTAAATTCACATCCATAGAAATTCCAGCTGTTTGAAACAGACTGTTCCAAGGAGGCCCTGGCTTCTTGGTTTGCTTTTGCTCAACTCCAAAAACCTTAACTAAGCTGCTTCCATGTGCAAGGTCTGGCTGGCTGTTGTGAAAGTCAAAGGGGAAGTGTACAAACACCTGGGGGAGGAAGGGGTCTGGGTGGAGTCAGAGACATGGCCAAGGTAGGAACAAACAGTAATTAATACTGTCCACCTTGCAACACAAGGTGAAGGGACTCTTAAAAGTTCTCCGGTTAGACATATCCTTCCCAGCTTGTTAATAAGACTTGCTGCCTTAGTACATAAACCATTTGTTAAAAAAAAAGCACATCGTGTCATTACAGCTTACAAACTTGTATTGTACATACAAACATTTCTACAGCTCTCCCCGCACAATGTCTTGTGTGGGCCGGTTGGTTGGGCTTTTTTGTTTGTGTTGTTATTGCTGCTGTTGCTTTGAGGATTCTGTTGTTGTCGTCATTGTTTTGAACTCAGTACAGATGGCTGAAAAATACTCGAACTGTCATACAATTAGTCCAGATATAACTTGAGTATTCACTCACCCACGCTGCATATCAATGGGCCATGGCATTTTATTATAATTATTCTATGAGGGCATCAGTAGTCAGACTCCTTCATTTGTCCATCTGTTAGGAAGGGACCACTGACTCTAGCCTCTTTGCATTCTCCTAGTAACAGTAATAAATGTTTTGTAGAAGACTTGATGTTTTGGGGGGAAAAAACAAAAACCTGCCTCTGGTCACAGCTGGTGATGGGCAAATGGGGAAGTTTGTTTCATTAGTCTATTTTTATGTATATTTGAAAATGACCAAGTGAAAGTTTTTGGTTTTTTTAACTGACTGTTGCACATAGGTGTTTCTGTTGTGCATGGACAGCCACCCCATGTCCCAATGGCCTCTGCGGACTGAGCTTATAAACGTGGTTAGCAGTCACCATGAGGGTGCCAGCAGCACAAGGAAAACGCAGGCATGGAGAAGAGAGAAGCAAACGTGCTCCCTAGTGCTTCAGAGTGGAGGGTGCCTCTGAGAGACACAGCCAAATAGTCAGGTTAAAATGAGAAAACATTTGGGCAGAAAGAATATGCTAGTTGCCGTGTATATATTATCTCTTTAAAAAAAAAAAAAATAGAGCTACCTATGAAATAAGCTCTTCTCAGTAATCTGCTCCTCCTTCATTAACTGCATTCATTGAGCTCCTGTATGCAAAGTCCGTGCTAGACAAAGAGACACAAATGCAACATTTGCCTTTGGCATACTGGGCCGAGGAAGAATAAACTAGGTCACAGTGTGAGAAGTGTGTGCCTTCTAGTGCCTGAAACTTAGCACTGCCCAGAGTCTCGGACCTGTACTCTAGTGCCCAGAAATCAGCTTTGCTCCACTCGCTTCAGGCCTAAAACCGTTCACAGAGTGCCGAGATGTAAGGTTCTGGGCTAGATACTAAACCTTTGGAGGAATAAATAAGGCACAGTTCCCATCCTTGGACTCATGGGGAAGGAAGATAACAAAATCATTTTTTTACCAGTGGAATGCCAGAGTACTCTGAGCTCACAGAGAAAGACTTCAGGGCAGGCTTCATGAGTTAAATCTTGAAGGATGGTTAAGATTAGCAAATGAGTCCGGCTGGTGTGGCTCAGTGGTTGAGCATTGACCCATGAACCAAGAGGTCACCCATTAGATTCCCAGTCAGGGCACAGGCCGGTGTTGGGGACTTGATCCCCAGTAGAGGGCATACAGGAGGCAGCCAATCAATGTTTCTCTCTCTGTATCCCACTCCCTTCCTCTCTCTCTCTAAAAAATCAATAAAAAACATATTTTTAAAAAAAGATTAGCAAGTGAGAAAAACAGGAAGAAACAGTTATGAAATAGCATGAGTATGTGTCGGGAGTTGTTTGATGATAGTATAATGATGGTAAAGAATAACTAAATTATCACTAGAATATGAGCTCCATGAGGGAATTTTGTCTGTTTTGTCTGGCTTGCAGTAGAGACCGATTAAGTATTTGTTAAATGAATTCATCTAGGAAGTGTTGCTAGAGTTCAGAGTTGATGGTAGGGAGTGGCATTCAATGTAGACATGATAAAATCAAGGAATCCATGGTAAGAAGCTGGGATTTGATGATGATAGAGAAACACTGAAGAATTTTACAAAGAAGGATAGCATGACTGGAATTGTGTTTTATGAGTTTCAAGGGGGATGAAGGGACCTAAGAGGGAGGTGTCTGGGCTGGTAAAGCTCTGTGTCTCCATCTGGACCTGGTTGTGCAGATGCGTTCTCTTCTGTAATAATTCTCCAAGCTGTATGCTGACAATTTGTGTAGTTGTCTGAGTGGATATGAATTTTTTAAACGTGACCTTGGTTTCTGGGCTCAGGTAACAGCGGGTGGGGGGGGTGGGGGGGTGATGGTGCCTGTACTAAGTTCAGTGTATCTAGAAGAAAGGGGTCAAATTCCACAGTGACCACAGCTCTTATTGCACTTGTGGCTGCCCTTGGTGGCTGTCCTGGTGTCACAGCGCAGGCCTGTCATAACTCCATGGTTATGGAAAACACCCCTCCCTGGAACTTCCCTTCAGGGATTCTTATACCCCCCTCCCTCCTGAGCTGGTGCCATCCCTGCAGGAGGGCAGTCTCCTCTAAGAAAAGAAGCCCTTCTTTATCCGCCCTAAACTCTCTTGGTCTCCATGATGCCCTTTGGCGGTAGGCGAGGTCCTAAGATAAGCAGGCATAATCAGATCCACTGAAGCTATTTCCATAAAGACACCAAAACTAGCTTCTTCTGGATTGCGGGGGGCCCGGGGGGCTGCCTAGCATTACATGGAGGTGGTCATGGGCAACGGACACACCTTGGGAAGGTCCCCTCCCTTCCTTGCCTGTGTCTCTCTTCTGCTCAGCTGTTACATAGCCTTCACTGGAGTCAAACTACTCCTGCAGCAGAGGGGTAGGGACAGGAATCTACGGCAGAAGCCACGACAGGAGGGCTGCAGACCCAGGATGTCTTATTCCAGCTCCCCTGGGGAAAGACGGAATGAGACCGTGGTGGAACCCCAAAACCTCTCACACCCTGCATTCCACCCCAGCATCGCTGAGAGGCAGCGGATGACGCTCTTTTAAGCCCCAGTTGAGCTGTCCAGGATGTCCTCTTGCCTCCAAGTGAAAAGACATGTGAAAAGCCTTCCCCTCTCTCGCAACATCTTGCCTCACGGGCCGCTGGCTTCCTGGCAATGCACTGAGCGCGCTGGTCACTTGGCTCAGCGTAGTATCTTTTTCCTGCTCCCTGACGAGGTCGGTCATTCAGGTGGCCAAGCCCTGCCTATGTTCTTGCCAGGACACCTGCTCTGCCTCCGAGGACGATGGGACTCTCTTCATTCCTAGAGCCACCACCCAGCTGCCACCTGACTCTTAGGAAAGAGAGACTCGTACAGACCCTTCCTGACACCCTCCTCCCCAGGTGGCCAAGGCTAAGAGAACTTTTTTAGAGGAGATGGCTACAAACCAGACAACCCAGATAAATCGTGAAATTCTGCACCCACACTTAGGTAACCCTATTCACGAGAATCAAAAGAGCAATTTGCTGCTATAGAAGTGGAGTCGAGAGAAAGCCGGTAAGTGAAATGGGATCCAGACAGAGTGACAAGACAGGGGTTTACTTTAAAGGAGTAGAATGAGCCATGGTGCCCACAGGCAGCCCCCAGACTCAACGCTGGGGAAGCAGAATCATTCGATGTGGGGATGGTTTCTTCTCTGCCGCACACTAGGCTTTGAAGTCAGTTCTAACCTTTTCCAGCCCCTACCCCAAAGTCCAAACACCTTTGTTGATTTTTTTTTGGTTGCTAAAGTCTCCCTCCCTGGAAACTCAAGTCCCAGCCTCAGTTTACCCACACTTTTCCTTCTCTCCAACTACCTCAGACAATTGGTACTGAAATGGCCATGAATAGAAAGGTCTTTTGCTTTCCTATTTCATCATATATAAGATGCTCATGGACAGGTACACCCTTACTTTATATGCTACTGAAAAGTCTTGCAAATAAAACATCTCATCCACTGTAAAATACGCCATGATTCAGAGACCCAAGCATTTGGGAAGAAAACGTGCTCCTTAGAAGCAATGATTGCAATACCATTACCTGGGCAAACATCAGTGGATGGGAAGTCCAAGTCCTTTGACTTCAGAAAATCCTCTATGTGAGTTAACAAGCCCTCCATACCAATGGGTTACAGCTCAGACATTTCGGTGACTGGGTTTCCTCACTGCCAACAACATTCTATGGTTTAGAGACCTTAGTGTAGAGGAGTATCATGGAGAATTCTGGAAATCTGGCAAAACACTACCGTAAAACGATTTTGAAAAGGTGCCAAACAACTAAAGCATCATGAATTTAATGTGTTTAATGCGTGTTTCTATTTATTGTGTAGATGATAAAAATGAGTAGAGGATAATTTTTACAAGCAGGAACAGAACTCCTCAAAGCTTCAACATCTTTGCACTACTTGAACCAATGAACATTTCACCTTTGTGTATTTGTGAACAGATTTTTGAATTTTGTGGAGCTGATGCTAGCAAATTAGAAGCGAAGATTCAAGAACTAATGTAACCTGATCGCCAAGACAAAATACACTGGCAGCATTTTAAAGCCCACAGCCAAGTGTTCGTGTTTTCATTTCCAGCAAACACTGTAATGTTCTACTGTGCTCTCCCCTAATGCGCTGCAGGTTGAATTTCTTCTTGCAACTCGCGGAGAAATTGCTTAATAGCCCAGAGCTCTCAGAGATTGCGGTTATTCCCATTCTCTAAGATGTCCTTTCCACTTATTCTGAGCACATCCCTTAGGCAATATTGTTATGACCTTCACAACAGAGACCCTGTCCAGCTACATATCAGGTCATTGGGACGGTTTCCAGAGATCACCAAGATGGAATTCTTCTCGGTGATCTAGAAACCAATAAATGCCTCATTGCCGTGGGGAACTCCAAATATATAGCGTTTCTCCCAATGAAGCCATTATTCGCGGTACAAAATTCTTTTCCAGTGTATTAGCTAGAATTGTCTCATTTTTCTCTCCCTCATTGCCTTTCTAAAATTATTCTATAATTTTTTTTAAATCTCTCAAAAACAAAAGCCAGAAAGTAATTTTCGTACCTATACGTATTTTTTAAACTGAGATCGCTCAGACAGTTAGAGCTCAGAGAAGTTGGCTGCTTCTCCTATTAACTGCGCCCACCCTAGGGCTGCCATCAGATGAACACCAGGGGCTTTCAGTCGTGGAGCCAGCTCTCCCAAGCCATCAATGACTGAGATTTTGACAACGCCTAGGATCCACGTGCCTTGTTAGAATTCTTTGGTATGTAGAGTAGCGGAAACCAACCCATGCTAGCTTAAGCAAAAAGCAACACTGATTTACCATGCAACAAATATTTATTGAGCACTTACTCTGTGCCAAGCACTCTTATGGTCCCTTAAAATAAAACTTGGTTGATAGAATCCAAAGACAGAGATATATCCAGCCTTTTATGAGAATAGAAATGAGGAGAGAAGGGGCGTGGGGGGCCCAGGATGGTTCTGAGTATGTCTGTCCTCTTGCTTTTCTCTTCTCATCTGAATCACCATTCCTTTCGTTTTGGATAGGTGTTCTTTACTTCCCAGTCCTCGTGTGGGAAAGTATCCCCTGGGAATAACCCCCAAGTTATCCCCTCCATTCACGAGACCAGCCAGACTGCGCCTCAAGAAGACTCTAGCCAGTGGGTAGGATCACAGGATAAAACAGTTTTGCTCATGCTATAAGGATAGGGGTGGGGATGGCAAGGATCCCAGACAGGCAAGAGGTTCGAAAGACTCAAAATATTGTGTCCCATACTAAACATAAAATTTTAAAACAAAGTAACAAAGCAAAAAGTATTGGACAAGAGGACATATATCCAGCTATGCTTATGTATATAAATATTTATGTGCTTACGTGCCAGGCAATACCCTAAGCCCTTTGCATTTATCCCTCATTTGACCACTGCAACAATCCTGTAAGTAGCTGTGTACTGGTAAATACTTAACAACTGTCTGTGTGTGTGTGTGTCAGGGGGCGGGGGTGCAGGGGAAGGGGGGGGGGTAGTCCTGGTTTGTACTGATTGCCAATTACTATAGTGTAAATACTTGGTAGATTTCAAGCTACTAACCTGAACTTGCAGAGTATGGAAAAGATGTACTTAAAAGGCTCTTATGTGCTGGTTAAGATTTGGCTCCAGGACATCGCTACATATACATGAGGTACTACTTTTACCCCTGTTTTCTGACAGAGGCGAGGACAGACACAGCATAGTTAAATGGCTTGCCCAAGTTTTCCCAGGTGAATCTATATTAGACCCCAAGCTGTCTGGCTTCAAAACTGAGACCAAGGATTGAAGAAAGATAATACAGCTGGGCTTATAACAATGCCATCTTTATCTTAAATTTTACCAGTCCCTCTCACTACTTAACAAAATATAGTGTCAAACATTTTCAGTCATCTTACCTGGTGCCCTCATCTCACATAAGACCCCATTGGAGAGGTTTGGAGCAAAACGTCTCAATTTGCACTTCCAGGACTCTAAACCATAACTACAATTTACCCCATTCTTCGTGCCATTAGCCATTTGCATCCCCTCCTACACTCACCACATCCCTAATAGGTTCTTAGCATTGTCAGTATACACAGGAAATAGACTCGGCGTTTGATCTGTCCAAGATCACAAAGGAGGCGGACAGTCAGGATTCCCACCCAGGTCCATCCGTCTCCAAGGCCCACAATGAAAGGCTGCCGTTCCTTGGAGCCCTTTTCGGCCTCCACGGGACTATTGCAGCTCAGCAGCCAAAATGCAGTCGGCTTCCAGTCCACAGTCCCTCCTGAGCGTCCCTTCCTTCTTCCTGGTGCACGAGTCCAATGGAACACGTCCACCCAGCCTCCTGGCTCCCAAGCACAGTTCTCTCGTCTCTCAAAGTTTGCATTAAAGAATAATAATAAAATACATTCAGACTCACTGTATCGTTTCCTTCCTGTGACGATAATAACATTATTTAACCATAACAAAATACTTCACCTAGCTCCTTCATCTGCAATGAACGCATCTTTAACAAGCTTAGAAAGTTCTGGCTTATTGTCCACATTTTACTCTCCTGGAGTCACAAATTACAGTCTAAATTCAAAATCCTCTCCCCCCCCCCCCCCCATTTTCTATGGGGCACAATCAAAGATAGTTCTGGCAAAATTAGGAGATAGGCCAAGTTGAGGCCTTCTCCACTCTCAGTTCCAGGACCTCTTCCTCACCCAGCTTTTCTACCTCCTCCCTCCCACTCCTAACTGTCACCACCCAGCACACATTTTACATTGATTTCCTCAGAGCCTTTCTTGCTCTCAGTTATCTGTTTCTTCACTCATTCATCCCCCAATCATTCATTGAAGGGTTTTTTATGCTAGCACCAGGCCTATCCTAGGGACGGGTAGAGTACAAATACTACTTCAGCAGGGGAAAGCCATCTGCCAATGAAGCTGAAGGAATTTCAGTGAGAGAGGCAATAACCAATATTTATGCACATGCAAAGTGATATAGAAAAACAGGTGAGAGAGTGAGCGATGCTCCTAGAGGGTGGGCAGGGGTGGAGTTGATCTCTGTTTAACCTTGACTTGCTTATCTTTACCTCCAGGATGTTTAGACTGGGTCACTCCCAGAGGATGGGAGCATGTTCTCACTCATCTCTAAGCCCCTGGTATCCAGCCCATGCACAGACCAGAGAAGACCAAGGAGACATGACCACTAACTGCAGTGTGGTGCCCTGACCTGGAGCCTGGAGCAGAAAAAGTACATGAGTGGAAAAAGTGGTGAAATGCAAATAAGATCTGGAGTTTAGCCCACAGTAACGTACCAATGCAGGTCTTGATAAATACTGAGGCTCAAGAATCCCACACGCTATAGCACTTAATCCTCAAGCAACTCCGTGGTCATATTGTTCTCATTTTACAAGCAAGTTCAGAGAGATGAAGTGCCTTGCCCAAGGTCACACAGCTAGAAAATGACTGAGGCCAAATGTGACCCCAGGTGTGCTAGAGGAAATCAGAGGAATGATGGACGCTGGAGGCGGGGCGGGGGGGGGGGGGGGGGGTCGTGCAGGAGGCAACCGATCAAATGATTATCTCATCATTGATGTTTCTATCTCTCCCTTTCCCTTCCTCTCTGCAATCAATAAAAATGTTAAAATGTGTTTTAAAAAAGTGTTTTTAAAAAAAGGAATATGTAACAATGAGAATAAGAGGTCAAAGAAAAGCCGTGAAGGAAGAGTTTAAGCAACATATCGAATTTCCAAAAAGGCACTGCTGCCCAGGTAGGTGATCCTTATTCATTCTCCCAAAAAAGATGGGCTGTTCTCCAGAAACTCTTCAACACGGAAAAGGCCAGGAGGGAACTTGCCACCAGGTGAGAAAGCAACCTCAGCCAGGGCCTCAGGGCCACGTCACTTCTGCTATCATGGACTTACTCTATTCACCTTTTGAATATGAACAAATCTTTTGGCAACAAGTCTTTTTATCACCACAAGTTAAAGGGAAGATGAGTATTGTTCTCAGAACAAAACTTGAAATAAACAAAATGCATTGAAATCAAAATGATTTTTGTTTTGAAGCCCAACTTGGTATGTGGCTGGTCCAAGACTCAGAGGCAGGGTTCTCTCTCCTCTGTCCTTCCCTCCCCCTCTTCTCCCCTCTCGCCTCCTAATAATCTCTCTCTATCTCTCTATCTCTATCTCTATCTCTATCTCTATCTCTATCTCTATCTTTATCTCTATCTCTATTTCTATCTCTCTCCCCCCATTCCCTCCCTCCCTCTCCCCACCTCCAACAGAATGAACTACTAATATAGAAATTTTAAAGCTAGAATAGCACCAAATTAAGACTTTCTTCTTGAGTAACCAGCACTGAAAGAAAGTTAAAAAGGAACCAGGAGGGGGTATATGAGAACTCTCTGTATCTCTGCTCAATGTTTTCCAAATCTAAACCTGCTCTTTAAAAGTCTATTAATTTTTTAAAGTGTGCACATAAGAAATAAAATTGAGTTTATAATGGGGGGGGGGGGGCGGGATTAACCTTCTCCCTACATGAGTCAAAGTTGTTTAATGGTGCATTCCCCATGCAACCCCCAATCATCAGAATTATTCCCTGAAATTACCTTTCACCGTAACATTGGTCCATGGCCCACATTTTGTGAAGCACTACTAAGCCAAAGTCTAATAACATGGAAAAATAAGAAGAAAAAGTATAGATTGGATGGTTTCCTGTTGATGGCAGAATGAAGCCGTGACTCATTCACCTTTCTGCCAAAGCCCTTTATGGTCTGACCCGAATAGCATTTATGCCTTTCTTTCACCGCCTATGCACCCCAGCCATTATCTCAAACTCTGTGCTCACCCCTGTATCTGGAATTTCCTCCCCCCAGCTCTGCCTGACAAGTCTTATTCAGGATCACCCAGCAAAGGCATCATTCCTTCAAGTCAGCCCAACCAGCCATGTGAAGCCTACCTCTATCGCAGACAGGGGAAGCATTCCTCCTCAGGTAGGTCTAGGGTGCTGTGTGGGCCCAACCATTGGAGCCACCATCTTTTGCGGGGTACAGTG